ACAAAATACCTCCCAGGTAGACAACGAGGTTTCATGGTTCTCAAACCATATCTTTGCGAAGTCTTCCAGGGCGAAGTATACGCGACGGAGCTTCTCTCTTTCGTCCCATCCATTCAAGCTCGCCACTCTCTCGAAAAGGTCCAACCAATCTTCAACATCCTCGTACGAGTCGCCGTGAAATACTGGCGGCTGGTGCGGTTGGCTAATGAACACTTGTGCCGGTGTTACCTGGGTAGTCATAGTGGTGGCATCCATCGTTTGAATTCCCCTTGGTGTAAAGTGAAGAGGACCGAACTCAGGTGAGTCACCTCGAAGACGGCGACTTGCCCTCTGGTGTACAGGAGTCACTTCCACGGGGTTGATGCGCTGGTCGTCGGGGCTACGCTGTCTTGAGCTCGCGGGGCTTCGATTCATACCCAGCACCTCCACCAGAAATGTAGCGATGCTGAGGCAGACAGGCTAAAAACAAGCAACTTTATTAGGGCGAACTTGTGCCCACAATTCTAAATACTGGGGTGTTCAAGTCCGAGCAGCCGAGTGGCACAGATACAACTATCTTCCTCTTCCTCGTTGCCTAAGCGCACGAACGCGTGGCGCATGCCAGCCGGGTCTTGCTTGTGCTCTTGCCACGATGATTGCGGCGGGCTATTTGAACGTGGCCAACCTGTCGCAGCAATATTATGGACAAGGTTCAGATCAGAATGAAAGTGACTTTGGGGATTAATCGGCCACTGTTGGTATGTAAGTGGATGTCGTTCTATAGGGGTGGCACCCAGCCTCATGGTTGACGGCCCTTCTTGACCGGGTTACAAAGGAGAAGCTCAAGCTTTTCAGGGGAGAAAAAAGGCCTGCGTCCTCTATAGTGCCATCACTCCTTCCTGTACAGAAATAGTGATATCATCGGCACAAATTGTGACCAACATCTGGAATTCCAAAAAGCTCCCTCGAGAGACAAGCCATGACGATGTAAAAAGTAAGGGTGATAGAGCAGATCCCTGTGGGGTGCTTCCATCTCTCAGCACTTGCATATTCGATTCTAGATCTTGAACTTTAAGAATCGTTTTATGACCACTCAGGAAAAAACTGACGAACGCATGAAATGAGGAGCCTAGGTTGACACAAGAGCTTTCATCTAAAATATAAACATGACAGACATTGTGAAATGCTTTTCTTCACTCCAAGCCTAGGATCACCTTAGTGTCTCTGGTATAATAGATTTGAAGGCATTCTGGGTGGATAAATTCGGCCTAGAGCGACCTATGTAATGAGGAAAAAGATCAATGTGTTCTATGCAATCCTCCATTCAATACTGCATAACCTGTTCTGCCACCCTTCCTACGCATGACGTGAGAGAGATGGGGGCGCGTATTATCCAAAATTGGTGCTTTACCGGGCTTGGAATTGTGGATTCCGTTCGCTAACTTTTATTGCTCTGGTATATCACCTCCCCTCATATTCCTACTCATCTCATCGGTAAGAAATTCAACAGAGTCTTCTACCAAATTCCGGAGCGCTTCGTTCGTGATCATATCCGGACCTGGTGCCGATCAGTCATTGAGTTCGTGCCGGAACGTCACATATTGCTGGTGCTGAAGGGTTCATCCAAATAGGAAAAAGGTGTTCCATTATATATCGGATAGGCTTCCACAATAGAATCGGCTGCTTGCGGTAGATACTTCTTAGCAAGCTGCCCCGATAGCTCCGCTTGCGACGAGGACTTTTAAGGCAGATGAAGTGCTGTAGCGAGAACCCTTTCTGATTATGTTGTGTGCCTGAGTCCTCAAGCAGGTGTCTTAAAATGTTCCGTTTACGTGCGATTCACATTTGTCTATTGACTGACTTACCTGTTGCATCCCATTGCTGCCTATACAAGTTTCGGTATAGTCTTCAATTGGCATATTTACCTACTCAATCTTTTTCCGAAGCTTACAATTAGGCCTCTGACCATGCCATCTTGTGAATAGCGACTTCCTTGTCTTCAGTGAATCGCAAGCCGACTGTCCATTTTTTCTTTTTGTGCCTCTGCCTTAATAGTCTTGGTAACCGCCCTTGAGTCCTGCAGCAGCATTTTCATTTACTGCTGCAGAGATTGTGTATTTCGTTCCACTCGAGTCTGCGTGACTCACGAAACTTATTCCGATCCACGTAAGTAAACATTCTTTTATAGAGCTGTTGCGTAAAAAATAGAAATTATTTTGTAGTGGCTACCATGGCATTGTCGTTGCACCTAACCAAAGGGCGTTTAAGAAAAGTTCTAAAAAGACGCTCTTCCAGCTTTCGCTGTGACTGTGCTGCACGTTCCGCGTGGACCTGGCAGTTTTTCGGTGGTAACATGTTGATTGTAGCAGTGGTGTTAAATAATATTGTCAATTGCAGCAGTGAGTCTTTAGTGACAGGAAAGAAATTAGGGTGGGATGGGGTAAAATGCAAGAACAATTTTAAACAAGTAAATTTTTTTTTGTTCCCCTCCTTACAAATAACTATCAATGCAGAAACTTTCGATGAGGTAAAAAGTATGTGCTAAATAATACTGCCATATTAACACAACTCAAAAGATTATTTCAAAAACAAATAAGGAAGGCTTCAAGTGTTTCATTTCACCCCAACCTGAAACGTGAAACGACAGGCTGTGTGGGGCAGAGCTAAACATGGCGGAAATTTTATTTCTTCAGTTTTGGCAATAGTAGACTTTAAATTCACCTTGTGTACCCTTACGCAGACTTAAAGAGCCATTCCTTCGGACTCCATGCATAGAATCTACATGGAACGTGGGGTTGTGTTGCTTCGAAGCTCCTTGCAGATCAAACACCACCAACGTTTCTTTGTGCAAATGTTTTCTTTTGTTGAACGCTGGCCCCTCAATGGTTTATTCAACAATTGGAGGCTAGATATCTTTTAACGTGTCTCCTTTACCGGGAGCCGGCACGCACATGAAGGCTCTCCGCAGAGAAGACTATCATCTTACAATGTCCTTTGCCGTGAGGGCACGTAGATGCGTGGTCATTTGTTTACGTATTCAACATTTCGTGGCTCATAAACATTGACTCAACATTTTTTTTTTTACAGAACAACCACTATGTTCCATTTGGGCGAAGAAAGACTATAAAGGTAAAGGTAGGGTGGACGCATATACATTGACATTATTTCACGCTATTTGCAAAGATACAGTATACGACGGATACCTGAAAGATTGCCCGGAATATGAGAAATAAAACCTACTTTCTAAAGTGAACATCTCATGCCATGAGGAAGCTTATTACACTGCAATGCGTTCACTCAAACTGACACCTGCGCAAGGCAGGTCAGCGTCGGCTGAAAAAAGTTACCCGGACTGCCTAAACTTTTGCCCGTCTTAGGCAAGCCCTAGGGCAAGTGTACGGGGAGCACGAATGCTCTTTCAAAGTTTTTGAAAATATTTTAAGGTATATTTTGTATTTCGTTCTTTGTGATCATTATAAAGCAAACTGTTTCTCGATTATGATAATTCCGACCCAGAAGAGATGCATGTTTCTGTTATAATGGTGAGAATTTCGCAAGCAAAAAAGCTATTGCACTTTTATTACCAGATAAAACTGCACTAGCTAGTGGTCTGGCTGAAAGCATAAAGTACAACAAAGTTTTGCTTAGTTTTCGCGCTGACAGCTTCATCCTGATGAGCAGAACTACAAGCAAATATCTCACTCTTTTAGTTCAGAGAGTTCTATAAGTTTGTATGTGCATCGGTTTCCTAGATGCACCACCACTACCTTAAGCATGTAGTGTTTTAGGTTCCCTTAGTAGCTTATTTCATTATTAAAACAAATTTAGACTGTGTGAATGGGCTATTTATACACTGCAAATAGACCGTTCTTCCTATTCAAGTAATTTTTACTGCAGTCATTTAGGGTGTTCAAGCATGAGGCTCATGGCAACACAGCAGTCACGCAGACAACAGACGTTTGGCACTATACTCTATATTTTGGTAAAATACTTGCTGTGGTGTAAGCTGGTAAGCGTTGCGAAACAGAAATAAAAAGAAGCTTGCCATTTTTAGTGATGGTATGTTTCAGTTTTCAATGCCAATTTAATTGACTTCAGCTACTGTTTAAAATGTGGAAGAAGAGGGCATTGCCACCTATGAAACGAAATGTTGGCAATCACGTGTTGAGGCCCACGGGACAGCTTTAAGCTTTCCTACAGTAGAGCAGCAAGTGCTCTAAATTGTTAACCACTTTTTCTAAACACATAAATTTCTTGTGGCTGAATTGTAATTCAACTAAGGCTAATTTTAAGTTCATTATGGTCTCTGTAATAAGGAATGATTCAAATATGAAGCTCCAACATCGGCAGAAACTAGCAATTCGAGTGTTGTAAACGTGAGAAAACGCTCACGGGGTTAGAGAGTTGAGAACAAACTATTCTAACGCGCTTATTAACGTGGGTCGCATTTCACGAAGTTTAATTTCTCGTCTTCACTTTTTGCCGCCTTCATTCTACTGTACCTATTTAGCGAAACAATGAAACAGATCAGGAGCCAGCGCTTTAAAAGTATGTATGTGCGTATGTGTAAGTTTGTGAAACATTTCGAGAAATTCTTTTCATCAGCCAACTAATATTTCTGGCGAATACTTTAGCTTTCCACAGGAAATGCGCGAAGAAGAGTGATTGTTATGTCACATCAACTCAAACTTAATATTCATTTAATTTTTGGAGGCACAAACCGCACATCTCCTGGGCATAGTTAGGGTAAAAAGCTACAAAATAGCGATCCATCGGCTGAGTGTTGGTATTTCGAATAGATGGCCGGCAATCGAAATACGGTAAATGAACACATGACGTACTCTTCAAATAGTAAAAAGGTAAGGCTAAACTCATATACTACTTTCGATTACAATATTTATCGCGCAACCGCCCAAGGCTGCGCGTATCCGCAAGTCGCACAACGCACAACCATTCAAGTTACTCGCGCCCCTTTGTGGGTGCACCGTCACGTCGTTCTTGCATCTTTGAGTTTACTTTACCCGAGAGAGTGGCTTCCATTGCTCGAGGCTTCTGCTGGTCGCTCGCTCCTTCCACTGCGGCGTCGTCGGACGTGTCTCCCTGGTCCAGTTCCTCGTCAATCCACGCTGCATGAAGGAGTGTACACGAGCAACGTGCTTTTCTAGGAGCCAAGCTCCTTTGCCCACAGCCCTCCGTCGCCATTGAAGTTTCACTCCGCATCACCACTCCCCACCGCAGCGTTTCAAGAACCAGGTGTGAATTGGACGCGATGGCTCTTGCAAGGACTAGCGACGCTGCAGTTCCATCTTGCATCATGCCTCACGCGTTAGCAAATCACGCGCGAAGTAAAGAGAAAGCGAACGCGGAGAAACGCGCAACGCGTCGCAAGCGTCTACTCCTCGCGTGTCTCAGCTTGCTGCGGCATGTGGGCCGCCTCTGCTTTCACGCCACAGCCGCGCGTGCCGGCTCGCGAGCGGAGCTCCGAAACTGTACTGGTTCTAACCGTCTGCACTTCATTTCTAAAGAGCCTCGCTCGTCGGTTGCATTAGTACACAGAATGACTGATAATTTTAAATGCTGAGCATTTCATAGTCCCCCCTACTCGCAAATACAGCGTCGGCGGTGTCATCTACACCCCCACTGCGCGCATGCTGGCGTGTCGTGCCAACTGTCGCCTCCCACCTCTCCCCTCTCTCGCCTCGCAATGCTGATGCAGGGAGCGTCTGCTATAGTAAATACCGAATACTTACGCTGCACAGCCATTCACTGGCCACCACTCACTGACCAGAGGGAGCTGCATTGTTCACACTGCTCCGTCGCAAAGTCTTTGACATTCGCCACTAGGGGCACGCAGAAAATAGACGCGTGCGTGCGTCCCCCTTGTATCCCGGACACTATCCACTGATGGATACAGGGCGCGAGACGCGCACATCGCGTTCCATCTTTTTTTGTGTTATTCAATACATACTGTAGACCCTTAGGTCCAAGCAGGTGGGCAGTTTCAAGAAGACATAGTTAATACAATAAGTGGCATAAAATTGTTTGGGGTGAGTGTTTCATACATTCACAGTGAGCACAAGCAGCGAACGCATGTAATGAAAAAAAAGGACATCGCAATTACATACTTCATATGTGTGCAATTAAAGTAGAAATGAATTCATTTTAAATGCAAAACAATAAACACGAGAATTTTCACTGTTCAAGCCAGGAAAGTAATGAATACATATATATACAATAAGAACAGCACAATGAAAAAGGGGAAAAAAGAATAAGAAAGAAAAAGAAATGAAAAAAATAAAAAACACTGAAATAAAAATCGGAAACCTGGATTGCAGACAACGCTATTTAAAGCGAACAAGAAATAGATTCTATGAGGATGCATAAGTTGTTTCGTTCCAATGTGAGACTGTGCGAGGAATATATGAGTACTTACAAGCGTCTACTTGCAGAAATTAGGTGTGAACGATTTGGCGTGATAATGCTTTGTGGGTCTTGTTGATAACGATGTCAGGTAGGGCGATAAGTCAATTGAAACTTTGTGTTTCAGAATAAGAGAAGGAATGTCGATTCTCATCTGTTTTCGACGTGCGCTATAAAGGGAAATGCTATTGGCTTTCATTATTCCAGAAGGAGAGTCGACTCGTGAGCACTTGTTAAAAATGAACCAGATGGCTTTACTCTGTATTTTTTCCAGGCACTTGATATCAGTTTGAGTGTATGGGTCCCATTGCACTTGCGTATTCTAATTTAGGTCTTATTAAAAGAATAATAGAACTGTAATTTAGTATTGCTTGGGGCATCATGAAGCTTATAATTTAGAGAGCAGAGCTTTCGGAATGCAAAGGCGGAAAGAATATTTATATGTTTAGTCCACGATAAGGTAGTTTCTATTCTAACACATAAGTATTATAGCTATCGATTTGCCTAAGTGACGTGTAACCAAGCCGGTAAGTAAAGGCAGGGTGCTTTTTACGCGTTATAGGGAGCAGTACGGTTTTATCGGCGTTCAGAACCATTCTTAACTTTTCGTACCCCTGCAATACGTTATCGAAATTGCTATTTGACTCAACCTGATCATCGAGATGAAAACTTTCTTCGAATAATACCCAGTCGTCTCAAAATAATCGAATTTGAACACCATGGCTTACTACGTTGACATATCATTATTATAAACCATGAAAAGCAGTGGCCTAGGACACTCCCTTGTGGCACCTCCAAAGTAACTGCCAAACTTTCAGAACGTTTGCCTCCAATGTCAGTATATTGCTTCCTGTTAGTCAAGTAAGCAAAAATCCATCTGACGAAGTGTTCAGGGACGCCGAGAATTCTGAGCTTCACGATTAGTTTTCGTGCGGAACTTTGTCGAAAGCCTGGCTAAAATCAAGAATTATTACGTCTACCTGACCGTTAGAATCAAGAGATGAAGCAAAAAAATGAACTACCGTTATTAGTTGGGTTATCGTTGAATACCCTTTAGGAAAGCCATGGTGATGGTCTGTTAGTGCAGCATTATTTTCCAGAAATTGGCAAACACAGTTAGCTATTATATTGTTGCGCATGCCTGGGAAGAAAACGAAGATGGGTAAACAGGCTGGCTGCCCGAAGCTGGAGGAAGAAGGAAGACGACGACACTGCGATCACCAACATGTTGGCGGAATAGCTGTCGCTGCAACCAACAGGTACACGAACGGTTCATAACGGTGGTATGATAGTGTCGCCACATACACACAATGCCTTCTTACCATCCACAGGATTTTCCAAGAGTGCTGGCGGAACGTGATCACTCAAGACTATTGCCCTGTGCGGCAGTCGACAGTCGCACCGCACTCCCTTAAAAAGTCCATACCCAAAATAACATCATGTGTCGCCTGCAGAATAATCACGAACTTTGTTGGGATAACGCGGCTTCCGAGAAACATGTCAGCTTGACACACACCAACAGGATGCAGATCTCATGTACATTAGCAATCAACATGATGTGAGAAGTATGGAGAGCAAAAATGACTGTTCTTAATTTTTCATTAGGCGAAACGTTACGAAAGTACAATAAAGATATTTACAATTCTTGTGCGCACCGCTATATGTTGAACTGTCACATTTGTTTTGCATATACAGTTTTCTACAGCTTCGCAACGTAATGATACCACAAACAACATCCGTATTAGCAATTCCACAAACGGCCAGCTGACATACACCGCTTTTCCTCGCCAAAGTGGTTGCCCTGGACATTGCTACTGTAAGAATGACAATGCCGCTGGCACACAGGCGCGTGCTAGACTAAACTGGGAAGACGAGAACAACGAATATAGAGAATACAACAGCTTCATAGGACACGACCAAGTGCTGTGTCTGTCTGCTTCCTTCAATGGCGCCTGTCTGAAAATTTTGGGCGGTCCCCAGCTGCTGTTTTGAGGTAACATGCTTTTCAGCGGAATGTTGCCAGGATTCCTGTTTGATGGAACCCGAAAGTTGGCCACGACCACAAGTATCCATCCCACCACCAGCGGACGTCGTCCTGGCCTCCATGATGATCCCGGAGAACTATTTGACCAGTGGCGTGCTACTTCGCACGTACAATGCGCACGGGCTTCTTTATGAGAACTCGGTTCACGCTTTCAAAGGCGTGGATCCCTCAAGATCCACTTTACCTTTACAGGAGCCGTCAAGAGAGGCCATTCACGCTTCCGTGGCCATGGGCCTCCCTTCTGTGAGTGCTACAACCACCGAATACGATGCGGACGTGGTTCTTTGCTCATGAGGCACTGAATCCCAGAGCTGCGCAGAGCTCTTGCGTGCTCTCACGCAACTGTTGTCCAAACAGCTAAACCGCATGGCATCGTCGAGCTCCAGGGTCCAGCCGGCCGCCACACCATACACCGCTCTTTCAGAAGTACTGGAGTTCTGAGGCTTCCAGGATGACGCTGACATATGGGTAACGACTGTGAACGCACTTGGTTCTCGGCATGCCTGTCCCGACAATAAAAAATGGCAGGTGGGCATCACCAGCGTGTGGCCTGCACGTGGGCAGTCACTGTGGTTGTGTGCTTGCCGTCGCTTTTCTTGTCTAAAGCACTTCTTTTAGTGTCAGTTGCCACATTGGACACAGTTAGTGTTGGTGTAGACGCGACTATAAATTTTATCGAACTCCGCATACTATATCTGAGCCAGCCAACATTGATGTCTTGGTCACAGACTGATTCAAAAATACCCACGAAAAGGCGCAGACACGAACATACGTTGACGAGAAACAAGTCGGCCTCTGCGTCTTCTTCTTCGTTACTGTTGCTAAAAGGATGCATAATGAAGACATCGACATGAACCATCAACTAGCTCCAGTCATCACCTTACTGCCAAAATCTCTTACGCTACATTGCGGTTAACCTATGAGGATGTTAATCAGTCATCCACAGATGTACACTCGAGCATTCACGAGCGATGGAGGAAATAACCAGACCAGAGGCCTTACTCTACTGTATTCCGGTATATACATTCGGCCCCCTTCCTTTAAAAGTTCTTTCTTATTTTGTGTGTGTGAATGAAAAGTAGTCCATTTCATGTAAAATCGCGTTTTTAGGAGTGCTTTCCTTCTATTCTTCTTGATTGACATGTGTCAGTAAGGCTAGTAAAACGATCCTAAATACTTCTTTTGTTCACGCCTTCCAGTTGATACGACTGATACACTTTTTATAGCATTGACGCACATTATTAGTCATTAAAAAGGCTGCCTGTGTCTTCTACAGGGGTAATTCGTAGAACTTCCACTCTGATTGATGGCGCAGTGATTAACGGCATGATAACGCAATTGAGCATCATTCTCACGCTAAAACTCGTACATATCACGTAGCGATATTCACGCGTCCAATCGGGGCTATCGGAATTGTATTTGATCAAACTGTTCAATTTCGCTTGTACAAACTTTGTGGTGGCATTTTGGAGTTGCAAATGGTCTTTTGAAGCAAACGTGATCCCGCTTGAGAGGCCCTGCAACGTGCTTTATAAAATACTTGATAAAAAAACGAAGGCTGCTGATCCACAGGTCACGGCAAAGAATGCCGGCTTGGGTAGCGGCATGTCTGATTGATGCTAAAATGCTTGAGGCCCTTGTGCTTAATTTAGGATGCACGTT